TGATCACGAAGCAAGAGCCTTCTGCTGTACTCTCTTGTCTTCAATTACTTCCGGAAGAGCGGCCAAAACTGACTATATAATTTTGCTAGATCTGAGACAGGATGTAGCCCAAGTTCATCCTTACCTTCCTCCTAAGCTTCTGAAGTCTGACAATTATAGGTGGGCACCATTCTGGAGCAGCCCCCGTGCCACAGTGATTAGAAAGTGTATGGATAATGTCAGTAGTGACGGTGACCTGACAGAATCCAGAGTCACCTAGGAAACAAGCCTCCAAGCATTATGTAAGAGAGTGTCTAGATTGGGCTCATTGAGGTGTGCAGACGTGTCATAAAAGCTTCCAGCTTGCAGATGTGCTGCGGCCACCTGCCGTGCGGTCTTTTTGCCATGCCTTCCCCAGTATAATGGATTCTATTCTTGAAATGTGACCTGACTGAACCCCTTGTGTCTTAAATTGCTTTTGTCACGCACATTTTTGTCGCAGCAGCATGAGAATGAAGTAACACATGACCCATTAGACAAGGCTTTGAAGAAAGTTACACCTCTAAGTCTTAAAACTGAAGAGAGGAAGAAGAGAGCCCCTACTCTCCGCTGATGTTTCAACCCAGAATCTTTGCTTTGATTACTTCTTATATGGGCGGTCTGTGTGGTCACAGACCTGGAGCAGAGTGCAGGTAGTGGCACAGGTGACTAACAGAGGTACACAAAACTTACTGTGAAAATGTTGCCGGTGTTGTGAGGATAGTCAATCTGGAAGTGTTAAATATGAAAAAGACAAACTAATAAAAACCTATGTCTTCAAGTTAGCATATATGTCATTAGAATTATAGGTGTATGAGTTACTTAAATGTTGTTCATGAACCACATCTAGTAAATAAAACGCAAAGAAGACAAACGATAGGATTATGGAATACTGGACTAGGTAATCCACCATTATTATTATTATTATGTATGTGTGTGGTTTGTGTATGTGTGTTATTTTTCATGTGTGTGTATGTGTCTTTTCTCCTTTGTACATCTATGCTGTGAATAGCCAGGTTGGGTATTCATGTTAACACTGGGAATCATCCCTAATTGCTCTTCTACCATATTCCTTGAGGTAGGGTTACTCAATAATGCTGAGTTCATGGAGATGTCCAGTGTCCTCTGCCAGGTATTTTATTTTATTTTTTTTGTAGGGATCACTAGCTACATCTCTCAGGGTTGGAATTAGAGGCCGGCCACCAAACTCTCTGGCATTTTTATGGAACTTAGCATCTGAACTCTGGATCTCACACTAGGATAGTAAGATGGTAACAGCTGAGCAATCTCTTTAGCCCAGGTCCACTGTTCTGGTTATGTCTAAGGTAATAATCAAATTAATATATGGCAAGCACATGTCAAGAACATGCCATGTGTTTTCATGATTTCCTTCCTTTCAATATATCCAATGGGAAATATAAATTTTAGTCATAGAGAAATTTATTATAGTCTCCTAGTTTTCATAGTTTCATTGAAAAAACAAAAGCAAAGAAACTTAAAACTCAAACACTGAAAACACATTCTGGGGGGCTTGGGGTCATAAGCTTGATCCTGCAGTGTCCTCACGCTGTGGCTCCTGTAGTGTGCCGTCCTCCAGGTCCTACTTCTGTGCAATGTAGCAGGCAACAACTCTGTTTATTTTACATTTGTTCATTTAATTTCTCATGAACTGGTTTCCTTTGGGGTTGGGTTGGCTGTCCAGGCTTGATTAGGGAAAGATAAAATGTGGCAAGCTGAAGGTCAAATGATCTTGGGCTTTCTTTAGCCCCCTAGATTAGGTAAAAATTTTCTGGACTATATAAACAGAATCTCTAAATTCCTTCCATTCAAGACCTAAGAATGCCGTCAGATAGCATTCCGGACCTATAGCAAAGATTCCTCGCTTTGCTGAGATTCACCTATCTGTTTCCCCCAATGTATTTTAAAACTACCTTGATTTATACCTGTGATTGTTCTGCTACTGAAGTCCTGGGAAGCTGTCGTTATATTGGGGCATGGCATGTGAGACAATCAGAATCTATGTTCCCAGGCTACAGTCATTAACTATCAGTCATTTGGCCCCAGAATTAACTATCTCTCTGTCCTTCTGAGGTGAGAGATGTTTTTGTTCGCTTTTTTGTTTTGATTTTGCATCAATACCAAAATATATGATCTTCCTATATGCAACTTCCCTTTGTGACCTAAAGAAAGTATTTCAAATTCTTCCACAGGAAATGATGTTTGTCCTTAGAGCCAAGTTTTCCTTATGGAATCATGGATATAGTATGCGGTGCAGAGATATTAGCCACCATTTTACATAATCAAATTTTAAGACTTTAAGACGATGAATGCTTCGTATGTGCCAAATGTAATGATGCTAGCTGTACGACTGCCTGCTGACGCATTAAACTCAATGCCCAAGACACATGGGTCATCACCCACGCCCTCATTAAAACATCATCTGAGCTTACTTTCTAACACGGAAAATATGAACACTTCTGCATTTTCCCACAGCTTCTGATACTCAATGATTATTCTGGTTTTATTTTATTTACTCCTTACTATAATGATAAAGTGTTTGACTACAGCTATGAAATTCAAGAACAGTTTTCAGACCTTTGTAGAAACCCTCAAAACGGTCTCAGAAAATAGAAAATGGGTAAAGCATTTTGCCGAGAAATCTCTCAGCTTCCTTTCTCTCTTAAAAACAGCTCTCTTGGTGTTCAGTGTATATGATGGCACATGATAATGACACCTCTTCAATGACAAATGGACAAAGCAGAAATACTAAAACTCCCCTATTGAAATTATGGCTTTGGAACAAAATATCATTTATTCAATTATCCAAACAACTCTGTCTTTTTTCCTCAAGACTGAAAAAAAAAAAAAAAAAAAAACAAACCTACAAAATCCTAGGTGCCTTTTTCTTGTTATTTTAAAAATAAATGAATATCCAAGAGCACTGCTTCCCAAGGCCTGTGGAGTGTAGAGCCACAGCTCATGGTCAGCTTGTCTTAGGAGGAGAAATGGCAAATGTGAAAGGCCTTTGTTTTTGTCTTTTGCCCTTTTTAGGAACAGCAGGACCCTGTATCAATTTTTTTCCTCCTTTCTGGCTAATAAAAATGCATGTCTTGCACTGGTGTATATAATTATATATCACACACCAACACCTCGGTGAGCATGTGAGCATGAGCATTAACATTTATACATGTGTCTATAGACCGCTGTGATGGTTAGCGCTGTCAGCTTTACACAACCTACAATCGCTTTGAAGATGGCCTGTAGGCCTGTCTGTAGGGATTACCACATATGTATTTATTATTATATATTCACCATGTATGTGGAAAGACCAACCCACTGTGAGCAGGGCCATTCCCTAGGCAGAGGACCCTGGACTGAAAAGATGGAGAAGAGGGACTGAGTGCTGACATGCATCCATGATTCCCTTCTTTCCTATGGTTGATGTCATCTGACCAGCTGCTTCAAGATCCTGACACTATGACTTCCTCGCCATGCTGAACTCTGGGCTCAAATAAACTCTTCTTCCATTACGTGGCTTTTGCCAGGATTCTTTTTTAAACACAGTAACAGGAAAAGAAACTAAGTTGACCACCATGTCAGGGTGAAACTTAACCCAAATTCTTGCCCATTTCAGAATACAAACACTGGATTCTCAAAACAAATTTCACTGAAAGTGTTTTGTTAAGAAATTGTGCCTGCATGCCATAACCAATACACTGTTGCCAATCAATTATCTGTGGGTAGTGCTAGATCACAGGTGCACTTTCTCCCAGGAACTAGACTGTGGCACCCGTCTCACTCCCTGCAGCTGAAAAAACCATGTTGTAAAGGTTAAGGCCCACAAATCTCCACAGGAAAAAGCAAGCTAACCCTTCCCCCTCCCCACCCCCACTCCCTGCAAACTCAAGATGAGTTTACTCCCTTCCGTAGTACCTGCCTCCTCCTTGTCATGCAGGCTAAGACACACTAAATGACGTTGTCTAGAACTTCCCACCAGCCTTGAAAATATGTCAACGTCATAGATCCCCTTTGTTCTCTGAAGGCTCTCGTGTTCTTCCGTGTAGCCCAGCCATGATGGGAATAACAGCAATTAGTCAAGATGCTCTTCATAAAATTCATCTTAAAGAAGAAATCTGTGTCAGCTTCCTTCTCCTTATTTCTGCCATTTGTTTGTTCTGTGATCTTGAATTCTTTCAGATTTCTTGAGTGACACACTTTTAAGTGTGGCTTATAAGTAAGGCTGAAGCTGATTTCTCTCTTTCTCTTTTTCGAAACTGGGTCCTATATCATTCAAATTAACAATATCGCCAAAGATGACCTTGAACTTTTCCTAATTGCTAGAGTTATCACCATGCTAAGGCTTTGGGGTTTGGCTTATTTTATGCGATGCTGGGGATCAAGGCAAGGCTTCCTGTATGGGAGGAAAAGGATCTACCAACTGAGCTACATTTCTAGGTCTCTGGATGATGACTTTCAACTTCTCTGTTCTTTATATCATAATGGCATTCTCTTCTCCACACATTAAAGCAAGACTACCTGTTTGACATTGAAGTCATTTGGTTTTTCACAAGATATAAATGTGTACGGGGTTTGGGGACATATGGGCATTGTGTATAGGTGTGTGCAAGGCTCTTTAAATGTATTTGAGGTGGACATCAGATGTCTTGCTCTATCCCTTTCCATCTTGTCCCCCGAGACAGGGTCTCTCATTGACTCTAGAGCCAGGCTATTGGCCAGCAATCCCTAGCAATTCTCTTGTACCCACACACCCAGCTTTGCATGTGGGAATTATAGGCCTATGCAGCTATGACCAGCATTTTACATGAGTGCTGGAACTCAAACTCAGGTCCCCATGGTTGCAGGGCAAGCACTCTACCACTGAGTTATCTCCCGGATCAGTGACTTTGCTTCTTCATGGCTTTAGATGACTGCTTCACCACCTTCCCTAGGGAGGAAATTTCTGAGCAGTTCTTAGGACTCACCTCTCCTTCTCTGGGCCATGGCCTCCCATTCTGGGTGTACTTGCTCTGATTCTGTCTCTTCTTTTGTCCCCCATCAGCAAATTTGCACAGTAAAGGCTCACTGGGGGCTGGAAAGATAAGAAAGCAAAAGCACATTAGCAAATGCCCCATGCAAATACGTAATTTTTCCAGCACGGTTCACAATGGATCTTTGTTAAAGCGTTTTGAAGTAGTATTTTGGTTCTAGTCGGCTTTCCTCTGAGTGTCACTGGCTGGTATTCTAAACATCGCTGGGCCTCAGAAAAGCACCAGCTGACCTTAAGAGACTGTAGTACACTTCCCTGGAAAAACGGTTGAAGTAGAATGTACGCTTGTCTCCAAGACTCAAGTTTTAACAATGCAGTGACAGAGAAGACCATTCTTGGCTCATGTGTACGATTATTTCTACTTCAAGGTGGCTGTACTTCACTGTGAAAGCTATAGAATTTGCTTTTGCAAATTGTTAGAAATCAGAGCATCAGCTTTGAGAAGTGGGGCCCCAACACAAAGTTCCACCTCAGAAATGTGCTTCCTTAGGAAAGCGGCTTGGCAACCAAGGGTCATGATTTGGGCTTTGAAGTATGAGACCTCTCATACCAGAGGCAGCAGATAGGGGCTTAAGAGCTAGAGAGAAGAAGCAAGAGGCAAAATGACAAGGGGCCTGGAGGAAAGGGAGAGCTTTGAGAGAAATCCCCCTGAATGAAGAGGGCTATTCAGGCTTTTGAAAGTTTTCAGGAACTGGTAGAATGTTTCATACCACTTGAGTAAATTTGGCATAGTCTTTGTGCCAAGGAGCCAGGTACTGAGTAGGGCTGTAAACCTTTCTTACAGAGTCTGCTGTGAGGGGTTACAAGGTCACAGCATAGCACAACCTCTTAACTCTCTGCCCCCAGACCAGATAGAAGTCTGCAGGCATGTGTGTGTGTGTGTGTGTGTGTGTGTGTGTGTGTGTGTGTGTGTGCACGTGCCTGTGTGTCTTGACTTTGCTGGGCTACAGGTCTTGTGGTTGAGTGAGCAGCATCTTCCGGTGGTAAAATAGAAAGAAGACACTGGGAACTACTTGCCAAAGACGTGGATATTTTTGCCAAATTGTACCTAAAATAGCTCTGTTTTCTCACTAGTCCTCTATAACTTCACAAATGTTAGAAATGGATCCTTTGCTCTTTCAGTTTCCCAGGAAAAGCTGGTGAGAAGCCAGGGAGACCAACTGTCAGGATACCAAGTGAAGGCTTGGAGAAACTATCACCAAGCCTGTCAGGGCAGCTCCCAGGGAGCGGTGGGAGTCTTTATCTAAACTTTGAAGACTAAAGTCTTTAGTCTTTATCTAAACGGATAAAGACTCATTCTCTAAGAGTCCTCCCTAAGCCCTCCTCAGCTCAGAGAGCTGATGTGGAGAAAGGACTGTGTTTATCTGAATAAGATAAAAATACAGATGATGTCTGCACAAACCCAGAAGCCAGGTCCAAATCCAGAAAGAAGAGAGGATAGTTCCTTGAAGACCAAGACTCTGCCCCAAGAAAGAACTTGCAGACCCTGTCTCCTTGTATCTTGTTCCCTCCCATAGAAGCAACACTAAACTCTGGAAAGCAGAAATCTGAGACAAAAAAAAAAAAGACATCTATTTCTTAGTGTTGACCCTGAGTAGACTGTTTGCGTCCACTAATTTCAGGCTCCAAGCTATTTGGCAGATGAGGGAGTGGTGTGAACCTTAGATTCTAGTAACAAAAGGTTATGTATGTCAATATCTGATGAATTTCAGTGACTGTAAGGGTCTTGCACATCTTTAGTAAATATATTTCCCCGAAGAATGTGATCAAAATTCAACTATAATATAATGTCTCTTCCAACAATGGCACTGCAAAATGTCTTGCTCCAAACCTAACAAAGCAACAGTTTTTGTTGATAATTGGTCACTGCCTCCACATCTGAAGAGAAAGTCACATTGACCCAGCAAGCTTGGTGAATACATTAAGAAGGCTGAGAAGGTTAATTGGCTGGTGTGTGTGTTGGAATAAGCCAAATATCATTTTGCAAGTTCATAATTAACCAAAATGAATCACTTCCTCCCACTGCCATCTGAGAACATGAACTCGGCTAAATATTAATTGTATCTCTGGGCATTTTCAAGTTTGAAGAGAATTCTAATTGCCTCAAAAATCAATAGTGGAGAAATAGTGGAGAAAGAGTACAAGAAAGCCAGCATCTACAAATAGGCCATCTACAAATAAATATTTGAAGATTATTTGGCTCTAAACGACGGTGATAGTCTCACCAATCCTCTAAGTCTACCCTTCTTTGGACTAGAAGAAAAAGAAAAGGACATGGCTCGCCACTGCTGAAGAGAAGACGGGCAGGGTTCCTGTCCTACACAGTTCAAACAGAATCATAGCATAGTCCTACTTCTTTCCAATGCCACTTTCAACAGTTTTACTTATTAGGGATCAAGTATGGTTCAGAAACATTGACTGCATGCATAGCTCAGCTAGAAGAGTCCTTGTGTTGCATGAACAAAGCCTCATGTTCATTCTCTGGGGCTGCATAAATGGGGCATGGTGGCACATGCATATAATCCCAGTGCCTATAGGTTGGAGGCAGGCTGATCAGAAGTCAAGATCATTCTCAGTTACATAATAAGGTTGAGGTCAGCCTGGCATACATGAGATGTTGTCTCTAAATTAATTAATTAATTAATTAATTAATTAATTAATTAATTAATGGGAAAAATCTCATGGTTTATGTTGTGTTGTTCTGAAAACTTGATGAAATCTCACAACCATTCCATCCCACCTTACTCGGGGCCTTAGTGATCCTTTACTCAGCATCCTCCATTGCATATGCTACGGTCCCAGCAGCTACCTAGCTCCTGCCATTGGTATTGGACCTTCTGGGGGGTATTTGTGCTTGTGCGCAGGTAAATGGTTACCCCACAGAAGGTCTGATACCAGTGGCAGAGGCAAGGCAACTGCCAGAGCAGGAGCATCTGCAGTGGGAAATGCAGGGTAAAGGATCATGATGGTAATGTGGATGTACCAAAGAGAAGATTCTTCTTCTATGAAGAGCTGAAGGCTGTAGAATTACTAAAGGACACAGACAAAGCGCACACTGAAGTCACACTGCCTTCTGTGCTCATTTCATGTCCACAACATGGGTGCGTGGGTGTTGTAGGATAATTTGCCCTCCAGAAGGAAGGGAGCTCATCTCACACATCTGTGAGAACATGGAAGGTTTTTGTCCCTCCACCACAGTGTGGAAAAAATAAACAACTACTGAGCTGCATGCAAGCTGCACAGACAGTACATATTTTGACAGCAGTCACCTGTGTTCAGCTGGCCTTTCCCACAATGCAGATGTTTTCTAATTTTTTCATTTTATTTTAGTTTTTTCTCTTTTTGTCATCTACACTCCTGTCAATACAAACAAATATTCATTCATCTGTTCACTCAGTTGGTGCAATTTTTTCTTTGGTCTGCCATGGGTTCCCTTTCAAGATGAACTTTTGTGTATTATGTGTGTATGTATATTGTCTGCCTCAAGTGCTGTGATGACAGATGACAGTCCCCAACTCCGAATCATTTAAAAACTGATCACATTATTTATTTATTCATTTCTTTATCTGTCTGGGTGCACATGTGTAGATGTGCATGGGAAAGTCCGAGCACAGTGTGCAGTAGTGGGCTCTTGCCTTCTTCCGTGTGTGTCCAAGCAATCGAACTCAGGCTTTAGACTTTGAAGCTAGCACCGTTACCTGCTGAGCCAACTTGCCGACTTAAAAAAAAAAAGCAGCCTCATTGAGTTAACTGACATACAGTACACTTATATGTGCTCATAACAGGCACTTTGACATACATGTATACCCACGTGATGGTCTCCATAGTCAGGCTAATGAACACGCCCTCACATGTAAGATTCCTAAACTTCTTTATACCTTCACTTTCTTTAAAGCCCAGAGACATTAGATAAGGAAGGGACATCCTTTTGGTTCTGATAACCAACGTTCTCCATTTGTGTTGGTAACAACTAAAGTTTATAAAGCCCTTTCTCTTTGCACCAACCATTGCACTTACACATAAGGGCACTTCTGTGGGATAATCCAAATGTTCCTTATCTTACATCTTACTAGGAATAGCCGAGTGTTTTGTCCCAGACTGGAGACCTGGCATTCAAAGCCAGGTAACAGTTGAATCATGAGGCCCAGTCAAAGTTGGGTCCCCATTCAAGCTCTTGCCTTATATTCTTCCTTAGGGCAAGATCATCCTTGCCACACCTCTCTTCACTGTGTCTACACTAGCTGGAGTAAATCCATGCCTAGTGATTTTCTCTGTATTCAGATCCCAGTTTTCATTTGCTGCAGTTCATATCAATGACTCAACATATCATGAGAAAATATCGAATTTTCCTCTTGGACATCTCCTGCTCAGGGGGAGAAACAGGCTGTTATTGCCTTCTGGTTCAGTCTCCGTCCTGCTTCCATTTACTGTCACAAGACTTCTGTTAACCCTCTCCTGGTGCAGATTGTGTGGCCACTTATGTGTGGGCCTAAGGTGGGCTTCACTGGGCGTTCGCAAAGGCTTCATTTGCTTTCCTTGGCCGCTGTTATTAACTTCATCATCTCCTGGCTCCTGGAATGTGAGGGTTCTCTCAGAACCGTAAACCTTTCAAAGTTGCATCTCACTGTATGCAGGGCATCTTAGCATCCATGTCTCAGGAGTACACACTGGTTAACTACCTGTGGCTTTGCTTTCCTTTTATTCCTAGTTTCTGTTGATATTATCATTGTTTGGCTGCCAAAGATGCATCAGTCTACTAGGTAGGGTATCTGCATGTTCACGGAGCAATAGACTGCACTGCGGATTGCCTTCTCTAGGTCCCACATCCAAATATTAAACAGTAATTATTCTTCATGTACGTCATAGGAAGTTGGTGTTCAAAGAAATAATTCCTGCTTTTGTTTGTTCTCTTTAAAACAGATATATAGCTATGACTGCATAGTTTATTTTAATTTCAATACATACTAAATATTTTTATTTGTGTTGTATATTTATTTACACAAGGGGCTTGGTAAAGAAATACGTATTAAAGGGCTAGGGAG